GGCCAAATTGCCTGTGGAATTTGGCCGGAAAGACGTTCGACTTTTTAAATCAAATATTCGTGGGGTAATTCGGTTCAACAATTAAAAAGACCGAATTACCCCAACTAATATTTGATTTAAAAAGTCGAACGTCTTTCCGGCCAAATTCCACCGGCAATTTAGCCGGGAGGACCAAATCTGCTAAAAAAATAATAGTTAAAGGACTAAATTGTTAGTTTTAAAAGTCACGTACCCAAATTAACACACCCTCTATAGTCACACTACCAAAAGTGTAATTTGCTCTAAAAATTTATTTAGTTTGCATCACAAAGCTTGCTGTGGACAGTGGATTATATTGCTAATTATGCAACTGGACAGTGGATTGCTAATTTGCTATCTAGTTAGTTTTTTAATTTGCAAATAAAATACATTACAATTGTTCTTATTATAATAATAAATTATCATTTTGCTACAAAAATATTTAAATTTCTACTATTTTAATCTTTGTCTATTTATTTATTTTGTTCGTTTAGTTAATTGAATTGATATGTCAAAAAATTAACATGAAGATTGAGTTGAAATGAAAAAGACACAAAGGATTGATTTTTCTTTAAAAGAAAGAATTCTGAAGATTTAACATCCAAAATAAATCCATTTGCAAGTTGTGAAATTGTCAACATAACTGTGCCGGACTTTGATGCTCAATATATTGCAAGAAGAGGAAGGGCTACGCATCAACAAGATGAATTAACAATTGGATATCATTACAAAGTTGATATTTTTAATGCGATGGTTAATTCTCAGTTGCAAGAGTTGAACAATAGGTTTGATGATAAAACAATGGAGTTAATCATTCCAAGTTCATCATTAGATCCAAAAGGGATCTAACATATTGTGATTGGTCCCCCGCACTAAAATCATCATTAGATCCAAAAGGGATCTAACAAATTGTGATTGGCCCCCCCGCACTAACAAATCTTGCCTCCGCCCCTGGTTCCAAAGAAACACTTTGACAAATTATGAGAGCATGTATAATCATTCACAATATGATTGTAGAGGATGAACGAGATTCATATGCTATTGATTTTAATTATATGAATGAAAGTGTGAATTGTAATGTATATATACATGAAAATAGTCCTAGCCACTTCATTTGAAATGAGGATTATATTCGAAATCATGCAAGGATTCGCAATAGGCCAACAAACCATCGATTACAAGAAGACTTGATCAAGGAGATATGAAATCGGTTTGGTAGAGATGAAATAAATGAATAAATGTATTTGCTTTCAGTGGAATCGGTTAATTGTAATTTCTTAACTTTTAATGATTTCAGTGTCTTCGGATTTGTAATTATATTTGTTTAATTTTAGTTATTTCAATGTCTTCAAATTTGTACTTTGCTTAATTTTAATGATTCCAATTACTTCGAATTTGTAAGGTTCATTTGAGGTTTAGTTTTACAATTTAAATCGTAATTCAAATTAATAACACGAATTATTTTAGATAAAAAAAATTTATAGTATAATTTACATTCGGTTATATATAGTATTTGAATAAATTTTTAAATTATTTTTAAAAAATTACGTTTTTAGATTTTCAATATAGCTTTTTTTAATATTTAAAATTAATTTATTTAAAAAATTATGTTTTTAGATTTTTATTTTTATTATTTTTAGTATTTAGTGTAATTTATATATTGATATAAATTAATAATGCTGAAGAGAAAATAATATTTATTGAAAAAAATATTAATTTTTTAAAGTGATGTGAAATTGTGATTCATTTTAAAAAGTTGATTGAATTTGTAGGGATGTAGTGTGAATAGTATTTCGTAAATGATTTGCAAATTGATTGATGTGGAAATAAATCAATTTTAAAAAGTGAGAGAGAGATTTATGGGGGTAAGGTTAGAGACTTCAGAATTCAGATTTCAGTAACCATAGCCTATTCTACCCTACCTGTACCTCACTGCCTCACTCTCGTCTCTCACGCAGTGTCGCCGCCTCAGCCGGTAACGCTCCAGCCGGCAGCCGCCTCCCGCCTCCAACACCATCGCCAGTCGCCACTGCCTTCTCTACCACCAGTTTCAGTAGGAAGCAGGCTTCTCTGTCCCATCTGGTCGCAGACTCGCAGTCGCAGGCAGCAGGCTTCTCTGTCGCAGTTGGTCGCAGTCTCACTGTACCTACCTGTACCTCACTGCCTCACTCTCGTCTCTCACGCAGTGTCGCCGCCTCAGCCGGTAACGCTCCAGCCGGCAGCCGCCTCCCGCCTCCAACACCATCGCCAGTCGCCACTGCCTTCTCTACCACCAGTTTCAGTAGGAAGCAGGCTTCTCTGTCCCATCTGGTCGCAGACTCGCAGTCGCAGGCAGCAGGCTTCTCTGTCGCAGTTGGTCGCAGTCTCACTGTACCTACCTGTACCTCACTGCCTCACTCTCGTCTCTCACGCAGTGTCGCCGCCTCAGCCGGCAGCCGCCTCGCCGGTAACGCTCCAGCCGGCAGCCGCCTCCCGCCTCCAACACCATCGCCAGTCGCCACTGCCTTCTCTACCACCAGTTTCAGTAGGAAGCAGGCTTCTCTGTCCCATCTGGTCGCAGACTCGCAGTCGCAGGCAGCAGGCTTCTCTGTCGCAGTTGGTCGCAGTCTCACTGTACCTACCTGTACCTCACTGCCTCACTCTCGCCTCTCACGCAGTGTCGCCGCCTCAGCCGGCAGCCGCCTCGCCGGTAACGCTCCAGCCGGCAGCCGCCTCCCGCCTCCAACACCATCGCCAGTCGCCACTGCCTTCTCTACCACCAGTTTCAGTAGGAAGCAGGCTTCTCTGTCCCATCTGGTCGCAGACTCGCAGTCGCAGGCAGCAGGCTTCTCTGTCGCAGTTGGTCGCAGTCTCACTGTACCTACCTGTACCTCACTGCCTCACTCTCGTCTCTCACGCAGTGTCGCCGCCTCAGCCGGCAGCCGCCTCGCCGGTAACGCTCCAGCCGGCAGCCGCCTCCCGCCTCCAACACCATCGCCAGTCGCCACTGCCTTCTCTACCACCAGTTTCAGTAGGAAGCAGGCTTCTCTGTCCCATCTGGTCGCAGACTCGCAGTCGCAGGCAGCAGGCTTCTCTGTCGCAGTTGGTCGCAGTCGGCAGTCGTAGGCTTCGTCGGTCGCCGGTCCAATGAAGCGTCCCAATGGCAGTCATAGGCGGTAGGCCTCCATCACAGCCTTCACAGGTAAGTGTATACATTGGAAAATATTATTGAATACATACTGTGTACTGTGAATTTGTGGAATACTTACTGTGTATTGTGTATAACAACAATAATTGTATAATTTGTGGAATACATACTGTGTACTGTGAATTTGTGGAATACATACTCTCTATTGTGTATAACAACAATAATAGTATAATTTGTGGAATGGGTTGACGGGGATGGGGATTCCCTGTTCCTGCCAAATTCCCCGCGGTGACAAGGAATTTTTTCAATTCCCCTGGGACGGGGAGTATACTCCCCGCCCCGCCCGGTTGCCATCCCTATGCTTGCCTTTATGAGGAGTAGTTTGACTAGCACCTTCCAAGCATGAAGGACGGACAGAGGTACTGGAATGAGGGTGACAATAGACAAACTCTGTACTTGGCCAAATTGTCTCCCTTCTGACCCTTCCATTGGTGGAAGGAACAAGACAATGTTCCATTTCCTTACATGTATAAATATGCGCTCCATTATTTTTTTTAGCTTCATAGTTGTATGTTTTCTTCTGACTTTCTTGTTATTAAGATAATACAATACAACTACATTGATTTTTTATTGTTTGTTTCATTGCTCCTTGATCATGGTTGAGTAAACTATAAATTCAACTTGACTGGTACCTTGAGCTCATACTCCAATAATGGAAACAAGTGAGAAAGTTTATACTAAGGATATAAAGCACCAAATGTGCCATTTTTTCAAAAAGATAATTTTTTGCCATTTCAATTAAATAGCCATAACATATAATTTTAGGTTGAGTTAAAACCCAATATAGTTCTGACTATAGTGATTTTACTCAATTTAGTCCTATGTGACTTTTTGTACTTAATTTAGTCATCGACTTTGATGGTTTTATGTAATTTAGTCCTCTGTTAGCAATTTTGTTTGTTGGCTGTTAAAAGTAGGGTCAACATGGTAATTTCCTCTCCCCCTCTTTTTGGTTAGATTACCCTCATCTCCATAGTTCTCATCGATGGTAAAATCCTCAATTCCATTCCCTGATTTCCTCAAGCCCTAGAAATCCAAAAGTTTACCCAATCCAACCATTGACAAATTGGCAGAGATTATCCATGGGGGATGCGACACGAAAAATTGGAAGCAAACGCACACCAAAATACGGTACGCAGAAAAAAACCATACTTGAACCTTAGAAGTAGTTTCTTCAATGTAAATAGCCAATAGTTTCTTCTTATCATTACTACAATTCTCTAGGATTTTAGCAAAGGCTTGAGCCTTGTTAATGGGGGACGCCACATTCTTCACAATTTCACCAGTGCACAAAAATTCATCAAATTCGAACTCAAATTGTATGTTGGTGTTTGCCTGTTAATGATGTGTCGAGAATGGGAAGTCTCCCCATGCTTCTGTCTGCCCTTGAAATCTATTCCTTTTAAATTAGCTAAGCATGAAAATCTCCCTTGTAGTTAACTAAACATTGGCTAATGGATAGGTGGCTCTCCCGTGTAATTAACTAAACATCTATAGTTAAATTGGCTAAGCATGAGAATGCAGTTGTGGGAAATGGCAGCTGACAGGAAGGTAATCTGACTAACAAGAACAGCGGGAAAATTACCATATTGACCTTGCTTTTAACCGTCAACAAACAAAATTATTAATAAATGACTAAATTGTGTAAAATCATCAAAGTCAATGACTAAATTAAGTACAAAAATCACTTAGGAGTGAATATAGTAAAATCACGATAGTCATGAACTAGATTGATTATTAACTCATTTTACGTCTTATTTACACGAAACAAACAGGCTGTAATAGAATCCAAAACAAAACCTAAATCCCTAAACTCTCTGCTCACTTCTCTGTCTCTATACTTTTCACTCTCAGCAATACAGCAAATTGGCAATCGGCAAGGCGGATGGCTGCAATGGTGGAGCGATTTTGTGGCTTCTCTCCCAGCATCTACCTCCGGTAGCTAGGGGTGACGCCGTCCACATGTATGCAGAAAGATGAGAAGGTATGCAAATGGAGTTCCCGACACTGTTATATATTTTCTACTGCAGAAGGCTAGGTCTTATTGAGGTATGACCCGATGCCTTTTTTTTTTACTGAAATTCTGGGAAATTTTTACAAGTGAATAGTATCCCAATTTGTGAATTAATGATTCATGTTATCATGAAAAAGGATTATTTGTATATTGGAACATGATTGAATTTCTTTGACCAATGTTATCATGAAAAAGGATTATTTAGTAATGGTAATACCAATGCATTTCTTACCTATCTACGTTTTTGTAATGGTGTATTTCAGTTTTTGTGTATTTCATTTATCTTTTATTTGTATCGCCAGGAGAGGTTGGAGAAGAACACTGAAAGCAGAAGAGTTATATTTTTGCCCTTGCCTATGCATTTCTGAAGCTGACTGATCACTGGCAGAGCTTCTATTCTTGTATAAAAATCCTTGACTACGACTCAAAATAAAAACAGGAAAAATAAACTTATAGCCTTTGAACCCCCAAATAGCCAATCTGCCATCACCTCAAAATGCAAGCTGTTATATCTATTTCAACTAAAATTTTGAAAAACCGGTTCGAACCCATCGGAGCCCTCCCCCTGATGCACACCGTTATATACACTTCTGAAAGGCTCATGTCCCAGTCCACCTCTATTCCCAAGAAGCAGCAGCGGGTGCGAGACCATGGCTTTGACAACTACATGGAGGTGGAAAAGAAAATGCGCAAAGTCCTAAAATTCCAGGAGCTCATCCTCACTCAGCCAAGCTCTATGATCTCGGTTTCTCGCTTGGACATGCTCTCACGCAGGCTTGGTTTCAAACAGTTTGAAGCAGGCCATTTCATCCTCAAATTCCCCCATGTTTTTGAGATATTTGAACACCCGGTTCAGAGAATCCTGTATTGCAGGTTTACCCGGAAAGCTCACATGCAAATTGATCAAGAAAATCAAGCCCTTTTAGCTCAAATCCCTGACGCTGTGACCCGGCTAAGGAAGCTCCTGATGCTGTCAAATACAGGTCGACTCCGACTGGAACATGTTCGGATTGCAAGGAAGGAGTTTGGCCTGCCAGATGATTTTGAGTACTCAGTAATTCTCAAGTACCCTCAGTATTTTAGATTGTTTGATGCAGAAGAGACTAGAAACAAGTACATTGAGATTGTAGAGAAAGACCCAAGGTTAGCTGTGTGTGCTATTGAGAATGCAAGGGAGAGAGAGTATAGAGAAAAGGGCGGGGAAGCTGAGAATATCCGGTTTTCGTTTATTGTGAATTTCCCTCCTGGTTTCAAGATTGGGAAGTACTATAGGATTGCGGTTTGGAAATGGCAAAGATTGCCTTATTGGTCTCCATATGAGGATATCTCTGGGTATGATTTGAGGTCACTTGAAGCACAGAAAAGAATGGAGAAGAGGGCTGTTGCCACCATTCATGAGTTGTTGACGTTGACTGTTGAAAAGAAGATAACTTTAGAGAGGATTGCACATTTTAGGTTGACTATGAATTTGCCAAAGAAGCTCAAAGACTTTCTCCTGCAGCACCAGGGGATATTTTACATTTCAACTCGGGGAAATCATGGGAAACTCCATACAGTTTTCCTCAGAGAGGCTTATAAGAAAGGAGAGCTGGTTGAGCCAAACGATTTGTATTTGGCTAGAAGAAAGTTGGCTGAACTTGTATTATTGAGTCCGAGAAAAGCCAAGGTAGATAAAGAATTGGTTAGTTATAGGAGAGATAGAGAAGACGACGATGAAGCAGCTCATGTTAGAAGAAAGTATGTCAAGAATGAAACTGATCATGTAATAACTCAAGGAATTGCTTCGCGTAATGGGGATAGCGAAGAGGATTTGGTTTCTGATTTAGATTGTGATGTTGGATCCGATTGCACAGACGAGGATAGTGATGATGATGAGGGCGTGGATTTCGATGCAGACAATGCACAAAGGAGTAACTGAGGTAAGGTCATTTCATTTTGCTCCATTTACTGTTTGTTTAGGCGTTCAAGTGTGCTTTTCCTTTGCAAAATTTGTATATGCCTCGTATCTTTGTTTATGCCAGATTTATAGGGAGTAATTACTTTGAGAGACAAATGCTCACCTTAACTTTGAGATGTGCCAAAATACCTTAATTTTCAGGGAAAATAGAGTAACTGACACTTCTTCTTACACAGGAAATGGAGTTTAGGTTACATACATTGTATGAAAAAGTTGTGGCATTGCAGGGCAACTCCAGCCAAGTTGGTCGGGCTGTTGGCTTGATAACTACAAGGTTCTAAGTTTGACTCATAGTGGAAACGGTTTATTGGCCTCCCTGGTTTGAGCCAGTTAACTATGAGAAATCTAAGCTGGTTTATCTCCTTATGGTCTTTTGTCGAGGGCGGGGTTTACCAATTGCATACTCCCGGGTAGTGACTGTATGTTTTTTTCGTCATCCAAAAAGAAAGTTATGACACTGCATGTTGTACTACTCGAAGTCTGGAACCAAGTTTCTAAGTTCGTTTCAAAAACGAACGACAGTCAGGCCATGTTTAAGCAACTCAAGTTCCTCTCTCAACTCAGATTCTTCAGAGCCTCGGTCAAGCGATGTTTAAGCGACTCAAGTTCCTCTCTTAACACTATTGGGCTGGTTTTTTTCATGATTAGTATAAGATTACTTGGTGATGATTGTATATAGTAATATAGAGCCTCCTTATCTGATTCAGTTGAAATAATAGCAGATGAATAGAAACATCTACATATCATTCATTGATCCAGTCTGTAGGATCTTGGGTCTAACTTGGTAGTACCAAAAATATAAACATCTTTTTAGACATTAGATTGGAGTTGAAATGGCATTCTCGTTCTTCATTGGATGTATCAAAAAATTGTTTGTATCCTTGAAATATTTTATTACAACCTATGCAGTATTAACAGAAGATTTATTAATTTTTAGTATGATTTTATTTTATTTTTTGTTCTTTGACTATATTGACATTTTTACATTTGATTTTTAACTTTAAAAATGTTTCAGATACTTTTAGGTTGTATTTCGAAACTCGAAAAATGATGAAAGTCATTTTTTGGATTTTTACGTGTTTGGGTATTCAAAAAAAATCAAATCAAATGAAAATATTCATTGTGGTCACCGAAAAAAAATGTCCAATTTGTGAAAATGTTACATTTTCAATATTCGTTATTTTTCTGTTTATGTGTTCTCTATCATCCCTCTTTAAACTAGTTTTCAAATTATTATTACCACACAACCAACACTTATTATTATTATTATTATTATTATTATTATTATTATTATTATTATCATTATCATTATTATTATTATTATTATTATATTATTATTATTATTATTATTATTATAACAAATAATATGTTTATTTTTAGAAAAATAGAACTAAACATAGAAACTACAATTTCTTAACTTTTTATTAAAAAAAAATCCTTCAAAAAAAAAACCAAATAAAAATATATAGTTTTCTAACATTCAACTAAACAATATAAAATTAAAATATTTTTCATAAAAATGAGTCATATTTTGAGAATCATTTTTCAAAAAATATTTTCTAGATTTTCAAACGGCCCTTAGTTAAAAATAATTCAAATACTCCCCTATTGTATTTAAAATTATTATGTATTAAAATTAAAATATATTTTAAAATTGAGAACTAAAAATGAAAATATCAATAACCTCTTTTTGAGAATACATATAACAATATATACATTAATAGAATAGTGCACAGCCCAACATTGACTGTTGTCTTTTATATTCCCACTAGTAGGTGCGCCCGCGCGATGCGCGGCTATATATATACTATGACATATATACATTATAATATAATTAGATAAAAAAATATATAGTTTGAAAACCTAATAAATTTGAAATAATAAACTTTGTAATTTTATGATCACTCATGTATTGATTAAAGTTATCTACCACATCCAATGTTGGAGTCAAAATAACACTGTTCTTAAGATATGACAGATCACTTATACCGCGTCGAAACAAAGGAAATGTGTTATCAACAATTACAGCAATACGATCATCGTCACACTTGAGCAATAATTGATCTGGAATTGTAATATCTGCTTCACTATCAGTTGAATTACCAACTACTCCATCACCTATATTAGCTATCCATTTTGCAAACTCTTTAATCTCTTTAGCCTCAATCTATGATTGTACACTTCTTAGGCGTAGATTCTTAGTTAGCCTAAATACTTTACAGGATCTCCAAATATATGAGGAATTGATGCTTGCCCCAACAATATCTTGTCTTGTGATTACCTTAATTAATTGTTTGAACCTATTTAGCTTTATTAAATATATATACTATTAATATACATAAAATAATGCGTATTCAGTGAAATACACTGTTACTATACGGTATTAATATACATAATATAATATATATGTTTAATAATGGAATATGGGCCATGAATAACAAATACACTATTAATATACACGTAATACATTAATTTTAAAGAATGAAGTAGATTTATGTCAAATACATGATTGAAAGAATAAAAGTACATTATGGTATATATCTTATCAAACAATGTATATTTAGTAATTTTAAACATGTAGATTTTACAAATTATGCTGTGGAAACGTCTTCACCATGCTTGGTGAACACGGTCCCAAATGACATCGTTTTTACCGGAAAAAAAAATTTAGTTAATGTGCTGTTAATGACGTTCCACAAAATTTCAGAGTATGACATAATGATTGTGTAGATTTAGTGTATTTAAAATGTACACGATATTCAGAATCCACACAACTAATTGCACCATTATACAACAAAATTTTACACTTAAATAATCAGGCTAATTAATATAATTAAACAATCAGACCTATCTATATTATAAAACAATACAATATATACTTAAAAATCCAAGCCCAAGCCGGTGGCCCAATCTTATGACCCAATCCAAATTTCTGACCCGACCCAACGCCCTGGAGTATTTAATCGATTTTGGCTTCATCTCTGATCTAGAGCGGACGCTTCGCCTTCTTTATCCTCTCTCTCCTCTCTCTCGAACATTCTCCCGTTCTCTGTCTCTTGGTCCGAATGTCTCCAATCCAACCTATAATCTCAGCTCTACGACCAATAATCGTTCTCTACATCAGTCTTTCACTTGTACTATAAAATCGCGAGGTTGATTTCAAACCCAAATTTCAGAAAACCTATGAGATAAGTTATCTGGTCTATCTATTTTATACTGACTTTTTCGACTAATTATTTCGATTTTCTTGCCTATTTTGTTGCTCATGTTAGTTTAAGATTAGATTAGTGTTTTCCTATGTACATCAAATAGGGTGATTTGGTTCAAAAGCTGTTTATTTAAACTCTAGACCTTTATGCTATATTTTGGTGATTTGGTTCAATGTTCTGTGGATCATGTATGTTTAATTATAGTTCTTTATTAGAAACTGGGAATATAAATTCCTGTTTATTGAGCATGAATTCTGTAGTTCATGTATCCTATCCTAAGTTGTACACTGATACTAACTAATTTAACAACTACTAATTCTTGCAGCTTAATGCAATTTCAAAAATAATTGATTCAGAAGATGAAGGCTAAACATCAGAAGGTAGTTAAAGAAATGTAAAGACTGTTAATGTAACATGCATACATCAAGTAAGAGTTCTAATTGTACCTTTGTTGTCAATACACTGCTTCTTGATGCTTTGATTTGCCTTATATCGTTGATGTTGTTAGCTAATTTTTTATGGTCAGCATGTATTTGAGATGTATGAAGCCTGATAGTTGCATTATGTAGTTTTCTGATTTTATATTCATTAATTACATTTGTCAAAAAGCTTTTCACTAAACCATTAACATGATGACAATTCATTTTTTCCTTGAAATTGCTATCAATGTGTGCTACTTAATTTCTTCATTAAACAATTGTGTTCCCAATTTTGCCTTATTTTAGATTATTTAAAGATTACTCACTTGTTTGTTTTCAGATTTTGACAAATGATGAATCCCAATTCTGATGCCAAATATTTTTCAGTTTTTTATCATTTCAGTTTGTACGTGTACACAGTTGATAGTTAGATGGGCCAAGTCTTCTGTAGTTGTAGTATATTGTGTAAATTTTGTAATTTTTTCTTTTGTTGAAGAGTAATGTAGCTATCAGACAATTTTTGTTAATGGTTTTGTAAACTTAATTTAAAGTTGAAGTTTGGTATCATTCAATAACTTTTTTGACTTGAAAACATTCTTGAAAGTATGTAAATTATAAATTTAGTGATTTTTAAATTTAGATTGTATTTTTTCCAACATCAGTTCTTCCATTTGGAACTGATAGTTGCTAACAAACCATTTTCTTAATTTACTGCTGATTAACCACTGTAACCTAGCATTAGTCCAGATTAGTCTGTTACCCTTTTTTGTAACTTACATTTTTTAAGGTGGACATATGTTTATTTACTTAGAAAACATTCTTTTAAGTATTTTATTTTCAATTTAGTGATTTTTAACATAAGATTATATTTTTTCCAATCAAAGTGGTAGTCATTTTGAACTGATAGTGGCTATAACCAAACCATAAGCTCTATAAGTTATGTAATGGTCTGATAGTCAAACTTAAAATGTAATGGTCTGATAGTAAAATCAATACCATTTATTTATTCTTTCAATTTTTAACCAACAGTTTTCTTTAAAGGTCTTTTATAAGGTAGACAGATGTTTTTTGATTTGGAAACATTCTTCTAAGTATTTTCTTTTCAATTTAGGCATTTTGCATTGGGATTATATTTTGATTTAACAAATTCACAATTTTTAGTTAGTTTTTTTTTTTTTTTTTTTTAAAGTCCAGACATGTTTATTCCTGCAAACACAGTTTTTAATTTGTTTTGCACAATTTGTTTTTAATTTGTTATTTTAAAGTCCAGACTTAACAAATTGCAATGTTAATTGTTATATAAATAGATACATATTATAATTTTGTGGTTTGCTTTATGTGATTTGTAATTTTGTGCAGTTATTTTATGTAGACTGTACATCAGCACTGGTTTGTTAGCAGCTGATTGTTTTCAATGCAAGTTCTTGACCAGTTTCCATTACACTTGTTCTGTAATGGTCTGATAGTAAAATCAATACCATTTATTTATTCTTCCAGTTTTTAACTTTATTTTTTAACCAACAGTTTTTTTAAAGGTATTTTATAAGGTAGATGTTTTTTGATTTGAAAACATTCTAAGTATTCTCTTTTCAATTTAGGCATTTTACATTGGGATTATATTTTGATTTAACAAATTCACACTTTCTAGTTTGTTTTTTTTTTAAAGTCCAGACATGTTTATTCCTGCAAACACAGTTTTTAATTTGTTTTGCACAATTTGTTTTTAATTTGTTATTTTAAAGTCCAGACTTAACAAATTGCAATGTTAATCGTTATATAAATAGATACATATTATATTTTTGTGATTTGCCTTGACCTGTTTCCATTACACGTGTTCCTTTTTTTTTCTTGGAATCTTTAAAAATATTTATTTTAGAAACAGGCAACTCGCAAGACTCAAAATATTTTCTTCTAATTTTTTTTTTTGAATATTTCTTTCTTCTATTTAATACAAAATATCTCATGTGTTTTTGTTGAAGTTAATAGATGGCAGAAAACGTGCACGTTTTCAAAGGTAGTGATAATAGTCAATGAAATAGGCATGGATGTCACTTTACAATGTTCTTTCATTTCATGCAGGCTATTATCTATAAAATAATAGGATATGTGGTTCAAAATGAGAGCTTGATATCCAGAGCTTCCCGAGTAAGTGTAAACTTATTCCCTACTTGTATTTAGAAATTTACAATTTGCATGTGTTTTATATACTTAAATCTCATCTTATAAGTTAGCTTTACACAGTAAAGTTGTGTACACTTTAGGAAATAATAAAGTTGTTAGAGAAAAGCTATTGTCTACATAA